GTTCAAACGGAGGTTTCCAGCTGTGTTTTAAGCTACACAAATAAAAGCAAACTGTTCAAAATCCAGGTAGGCTGACATTGTCATGACAGCAGCACAATGCTAACAAGCAGCCATGATAAATAGGACAGTGTTGAGAATCCTTAAATTGCAAAAATTCTCCTGCCATAGCTAAAGCTTTGCATGACTGACTGATGAACAGGAGATATCAAAGCTGAAGAAAAATTTTGGACCACCAAAGCTAGTGCGGAAGGATCATCCCTTCCAGCTAGGGGCTGGAGGAAGGAGGTGGGGAATGAGGTCATTAGGCTAAGCCTAATCAAGCAAGCAAATCCAAAACCAAAAGGAAACTTAGCAATACCCTCAGTGCTATATACAAAAGAAAGGAACAAGAGGACAAGTCTTGTGAAACAGAACTGTTGTAATTAACAATGATGCAGTTAGCACTCGTGCTAAATAGATATGCTGTGCAGGCTGCTATTTTCCTACAAATCCCTACTTGAGCACTACTGCTGATATTCTCTGTCTCTCTCTTTCCCATAGTGCACAGATGAATTTAGTGGAAGAGTGACTTCAGATGAAAAATTCAAGTACACCAGAAGACCTGTAGAAAATTAAATCATAGTCTTATCAATAGCAAAGAATACAATAATTTCTAAATCTACCTTGTAGTGAAGATGCTATGTCAAGATCTTACCTTCCACCCCAGGCTCAGTAGGAAAGGTTTTGCTGGAACTGCAAAAAAATAGCTTCACGCTATATAACAAAAAGGAACTACAAACAATCACAGCTACTTTCCTGATCACACTTTGGATATTTCTTTCATGTTTCTAAGTATTTCTGTGAAGCTGGGAATGGGGAACTGCTAATAGCCACAAGTTTAACCACAGATGACTGTACAAGCACAAAGCAGGTATCAGTAGAAGGGCAAAAGAGAACATCAAATAGCAGATGACCAGGAAAGCAGTCACTCTAAAATTAAGTACAGTCCTACCTAGAGGAAAATGAAACATTCCCACTGTGAATATGCATAAGCTGGAATAGGCAAAAGTTAACATAGGAAATCATGTACCTGTAACAGTTTTAGAAGAAAATGTGAGAATGGGTGCGCTCTACAACTACCTCATTTTTCTACAAGAGGCTGAGAAAAACCACAGATCTTTGTTTTTTGTACTGCTCCTTTGCAGAAGTTTCACCACAGTCAGGCAGGTTTTGCTGCGCAGAAGTTATTAATACAAATGTTTTCACCAAAGTTGCTGTGGAACTTGTTTGAGAAACTGAATGCTGATGACCTTCAGCTGACCAACTTTCAATCAGTACATGTATAATCAAGACAAATTTTGATGGAGAAGCACAGCTGACTTCACTGCCCAAGTGAATTTTCTCTCTAGGCAAGAGGCAGTTACTGGCTGCCTAACCTCTTTCCTTAATTAGTTAAATAAAATGCTAGCAAGACAGGTGCTAAAGGGCAGATCAACCTATTTCTCTGTTGTAGTCTTTTGGATGTAGGAGGACCTGGCTTTGCTCCACTTGATGGTACCAAACTGCTCCTCTAGGGTTTCAATAAGAACAAAAGCTAGAGCGCAGAGGAATTTATTCTAGAAAATTTTTATAGTCATTTCCAAGAGGAATTGTAAGTGTTCCCCATGGGATGCTGATCCAGTTGCCCAACATTTGCCCTGTGCTGTTCAGTGTTCAATTTCTCAGAACACAACAGCTCCAGATAATCAGCCACGTGTTCTGCCAGATTTGGATACCTGCTGCAACACAACCGATGACATGCACCTTACTGAGTAAACAACTAATGAAAAATCTAAGTTGTCCATTATGGAACTATACCAATGGTACACCACAGCTTCTCTTCTCCTCATGCATGGAGAAGTGGGGATGGGGAAGAGCACAGTGTATAAAAAGTTCCCTACAGGAGTGAAATATTTCCTCAGTTTTCTCAGGGTACCCCTGAAGAGGAAGGCAGGAATCAGTGATGCTTTCATTTCTACACTGCAAAGCTGACACTTTTGTTCACATACTGTGTTGGTGGTCTGGCTGACATTTCACAAACACAGAATATAAAAAGCTTCCTGATTTTCATTTAAAGTGTATCTCAAGGACTCAATTTACTGATAGCTTTGCTTGCAAGGTGTTGACTTCTACTAACTTCTTACACTGTGACTAGGAATGTATTGAGAACAATCTGCCTTGGAGACACTGTAGAGTATTAGGGAAATATGTACGCGAACGGTCTCTCTGGAACACGTGGTATGCAATGGCAAGCAATTTTCCAAGACAGATAGGTACAACAAGCTTCATCCCTGTGAGAAAAGAGGAACAAGAAATTAGACTCCTCTCTGAAAGTCAAAATACGGCCCTTGCTTTGCAGCATTGGTGCAGAACTACTATGTATTGCACATTTTTTAGGGGAATTCACCACTGAGACAGAATTTCCACACAAGACCCAAATGTGACTCCATGAACTATGCAGAGCAAATAGGTCAAACACAGATCCTTTATGTTTTTATACAGGGGAAGTTACTGCAGGTGTTATACTGCATGCTGTTCCTATAGGTTTGCACTCCACTGCACGCCTAGCAGTACTGTGTGCAAGA